TGCATTTGATTTCAACATGTGTGTGTCATCTACTCCTTGGGATGGAGGGAGTATTTCTTTTGAATAAAGTTTTAAATCTAACATCAATTCTCTGATGGTTGACATATGCGGGCTTAAAGTTTCCTTGTGCATGTAGTATATGTTTGATTCAATATACAATAGTCTTTCTTGAGATGCAAAATGTCTTATCCAGTTTCCTTCAACGTCAATAATATTGAAGATAGGTAAGAAAATGCCATAAGAAATTACACTTCTATTTGTCGAAAGTACCACTTGCTTTATGTTCCGGTTATGTTCGTCCAAACATGCTTGCATGAGTGCACGGTTACTGGCATGGTATTAAATAAACCAGTCCCTAGATTTTTTGCTGCTAAATGTGGTGATGATGTCCTTAAACCCAGTCCAACACATGACCCTTTGTGGAATTTACTCAGATACAATCAAATTTACATTTGCTCACATACAAGCTGTTAATTGTTGTGAAAATTTATATTGACTCCATTTGTTTCATGGGACAGCTAGACCTAAATCAAATGGCGACAGTAGACTCATCGTCGGCGAGTACGAACCTGGATGATGTGGACCTTGAGCTCAAGCTATGATCCCACCTGGTTAAACATGTGCATGCTCCTTGCATATTAATGGATATGATGCCACACGAAGCGGAGAGCTTTGTCGCGCGGTGTGTTTAATTCTCATGCATATATTGGATTGTGATTGATTTGGCGATGGATGCTGGCTAGCTAGCTAGTTAATTTGTACAGACATAAGCACACTACGGCCATGGGTTTCAGAATATATGGCGCAGAATCACAAGGATATATAGGGCAGCTGGTCTACCTAGGCCACTGATCCCGCTGCCTTTTGCACCTAGCTATTGTTGTATGATGACAAGGTACGTATATTCTGGTGCAGTACTATGGGCGTCGATTGTTCTCGATCTTAATATTGCTGGTGATCTTAATATCGTAATCATGCTAAGGAGCACTCCTGGCTCAAAAAGGTCTTTCGTTGTTTGAAAAAAAATCCCTATGAAATCATGTGGAAATTTGCATGCTGCTAGGAAGCACTTTACATGCATATGCTCCGATGTTCTTATGAATATACCTACGTGGTATCTGATATTATCTTTTTGACCTTTTCTAAGCCCCATGCATCCATGACATGTACACAAAGGAGAACAAATGTACTTCCTCTGTCCGGGTGTATAGGACATTCGCATAGATCTAGGTAATCAATTTGACTAACTAAATATGTGTATATGTTATCAAAAGCATATTATTGGACATATGCGGATGTAGTTTCTAAACATATTCTTTTTGTCACATATAATACATACATATTTAGCTAGCTAAATCATCGACCTAGAATTACGTGTATACCCTATACACCTGGACGGAGGTAGCATATAACACTCATGGGATGGGTGAAGGATGCATAGGTAAGTGTTGTCTCCGGCCATGGCTTTGTTTTGTGCACCTTTGGAAGTTAGATTTGTTTGTAGCTAAGCTCCCAATCATGCTGAGATTGACGCTTTGCGTCTTTTTATGTTTAATTATCAAGTAAATTCCACTCTGTACCATATAAGATTGAGTTTATGACATTTTTTACCCCATTTACAGAAATTCGTCTGAAATAAGTTATTTCAGCTTGTGTCCCTTTTAAAGTTTTGCCCCATTATGTCTGGCGAGGTTGTCGCATGTAGCGTGTTGAGTCAGATCCGGTGCAGAAAATGAGGCCTACTGTGACTTAGTTAAGCTAGCAGGTCCCTCGACCCGGTCCAACCATAGAATATAAGTTCATTTCACACCGGACCAGACCTACCTTGACATGAGATACGTATTTGGAAGCGGAAGCAACAACGCCGGTTTCGGTTGGTGCTGAAGCAACCCTAAACTACAAGCCTGCATATGGCACTTGCTAATGTGGATGAGGGAAATGAGTTACCTCACTTGCATGCGCGTTATCCCTCCGAAGATAGTCAATGATTACCCGCTCACAGCGCCTTTTCACCCACCTTGGGTTCATCGCTGCTCTACAACTCCCATGTGACGAAATGAGGAAGAAGATGAGAGAATATGGCCAATTCGCGTGACCAACTCGGGTTGAACCATGCCCCAAGTGCCATGTGCCACGTCAGATGCTTCTCATGCAAATGTGCCTCTGAACTGGTGTCAATCTCAGCATAGGACCGACGACCGCTAGTGGGGGAAAGATTAAAAAGGGTAAAAAACTAGAATAATCTTGCTTAAATAGGATATTTTGGATGAACTTCCAAATAGAGTAAAGAATGTCACAAACTGCATAGATGCTCAGATGAATTTTTGAAACAATATGCATCACGTTGGTTTTTTCCTAGAATAGTGCCTCCACGATCTAATGGATAATTCATGCCTGCATAGAGATATCCATCGAAACATGCCTCATCATCTTGTTATGAGCCATGGGATTTTGGAACACTGAAGGTGCATGCATGTACCAATGCACACATTTTTTTGTGGGAAATGCAGCAATGCATGTCAAAAAAATATCACACACGTTTCTTGAGGTACAAAGTATCACACACTTGTGAATGTCGATATCCCCTAACAGCAAGTACAATAAGTCTTGCTAGGCAGGGCTATAGTGTATATGTTCGATGTTATCAAAATCCTACTTGAGAGAGAGAGAGAGCATGGACCGAGAGAGAGCATGGACCGAGAGAAATTAGCATGCATATTTGTATGCATGCTGGAAAAGCAAATCCAAATTAACGTACACACAATCTCATTGATGGATCCGTACATTCTGGACGTTGGATGCATCTTTAATGGCAGTGCTAACTTAAACTATGCTAGTCTAGCTAAACATATAATCTTAATTGTTGTCTAATCATCGCATACCCGTGTAGTTTATGTGAACAACTCACACAGTGTAAGTTTGTTTTTCAACATAATTAAGAATGGATAGTTAGAAGGATTGTGATACTTCCATTCAGTAGGGACCAAACCCTAGGTTTAACGATTTGATGCATGTCTCATTAATGTAGTCGAACTCGATCTCATCTAGTTTTCAGCCAGGCGTTGTGTGAATGCATGTGCAGTTGTGGCATGAGTGGGTATGTGTGTGCAACACACATTGTAACCGGTGTTTCTCCAAATAATTTCTTTCCCAACATGAGAGACTGTGGTAGTAATAAGCGAGTGAAAAAAGGCAGTTAGGCTCGGATGAACGTACGTATGTACACTGGCAAATTGCAGACCATGGCTTACACAAACAATCTATCTATATTACTAATATAGGGGGTTCTAGTTAAGTTGGGGTTCGGCTATGTTTTAGAATGTACAAATTTAGTTTGCCATGGGGAAAAAAGAAGCAAAGCGCACTTTTTTTTCACCTTCTTTATATTCTTTGCTGAAAAAGGTGCAAGTTTACATTATATTTTCATTTGGCGTTTTAATCGGAAATGTCACATACTGCAGCCATGTCACCTTCTTGTTTACTTTTAGCAACTTTGTTTTGAGGGTATTTTTAGCAACTTTCTTGGTTAATGGTTTTTTTAGGGGTAAATCTTGGTTAATGAACGGCCCATGAACGGCCCGCTACTTTCAGGTCCCTCAACCAACCACGTCCACTTGAGGCCCGCCCAGCCGCGTCTCGAAAGTCGAAACCGCAGAACAAACACGCACAAAAGCTAATAAGCGGCTATATTTGAACGTGCGCGTCGTCGTTGCACGCTCCCGCGCTATTAATGGAGAACGGCCACGCGCGGCGACCCAATTTTAGCTCAGTCAGCCGCACGCGCTTGCCGGCCGGAGCTACCGTCGTCGGCAACGCCACGCGGAGCTATACGCAGGTCCCGTCCCGTCCCAATCAAGAACGAGGAGGTCAGCCGAGCTCATCGGGGAAGGAGGCGACATGGCCCGGTCCTCCTCCCTCCTCCGCGCCGGCGTGCTCGCCATGGCGCTCCTCGCCTCCTTCCTCGGCGTCGAGGCCCTCTTCGACCCGTTCAACATCTTCGGCGGGCGCCCGGAGAGCGATTACCTGGACCCGTTCGGCGGCGGGGCGACCAAGAGCCCGCCCCCGCCCCGCACGGAGCGGAAGGAGACGGGCGCGGCGCAGCCCAACACCATGGGGCTCACGCGCGTGCCGCCCTTGGGCGAGCCCAGCAAGGCGTCCCATGATACCATGACTATCAAAGTTACCGTGCGCGACGACAAGCCCGACGGCGCGTGGACCATCGTCAGCGACAACTCCGGCGTCTCCGCCATGCACCTCGCCATCATGCGCCACGGCCGCGCCATCATGTTCGACACCGCCACCACGGGGCGCTCCCTCATGCGCCTCAGGTTCGACAACTGCCGCGTAGACCCGCGCCGCCACAAGACCGACTGCTGGGCGCACGCCGTCGAGTTCGACTACACCACCGGCGCCGTCCGGCCCCTCAAGATCCTCACCGACACCTGGTGCTCCGCCGGGGGGTTCGACGCGGACGGCAACCTCGTGCAGTCCGGGGGCTACTTCGAGGGCGACAGGACTGTCCGCTACCTCTCGCCCTGCCACACCTGTGACTGGAAGGAGCACCCATATAGCCTGTTCGAAGGGCGGTGGTACGCCACCCAGCAGGTGCTCCCCGATGGCCGCTTCGCCATCTTCGGCGGCCGCCGCGCATTCTCCTTCGAGCACCTGCCCAAGCCCGGGATGTTCAACCACCAGTCCGTGCCGCTCGCGTTGCTCCGGGACACCACCGACGACGTGGAGAACAACCTCTACCCTTTCGTCAACCTCCTTCCCGACGGCAACCTCTTCATCTTCGCCAACGACCGCGGCATCATCTTCGACCACCGCTCCGAGATCGTCATCCGCGACATCCCGCCGCTCCCCGGCGGAGCCCGCAACTACCCGGCGTCCGCCATGTCGGCCATGCTCCCGCTCGACCTCCGCGGGAGGCAGCTCCACGGAGGCCCCGAACTGGAGCCGGAGGTCATCATCTGCGGCGGCGCCAACAAGACGGCGTTCAAGGTCGGCGAGATCGGCCAGTACGGACCGGCGCTCAAGGACTGCGGCCGCATCAACCTCGTCAAACAGGACGCGCAGTGGGCCACGGAGGAAATGCCCGTGCAACGCGTCATGGGCGACATGCTCATCCTCCCCAACGGCGAGCTGCTCCTGCTCAACGGCGCCGCCAAGGGGTGCGGGGGGTGGGGCTTCGCGCGCCAGCCCGTGCGCTCGCCGCTGCTCTACTCGCCGTCGGCGCCGCAGGGGTCCCGCTTCCGGCCGCTCACGCCGTCCACCATCTCGCGCGTCTACCACTCCACCGCCGCCGTGCTCCTCGACGCCACCGTGCTCGTGGCCGGCGGAAACACCAACTCGGGCTACAACTTCAGCGGCGTCGACTTCCCCACCGAGGTGCGCGTCGAGCGCTTCACCCCGCCCTACCTCGACGGGAGGAGGCACGTCGCCAACCGCCCCGCCATCGACCCCCACTCGCTGCCCAGGGAGGGGATGCGCTACGGGGCCAAGTACACCTTCAGGTTCCGCACCCCGCTCGACCCCGTCGTGGAGGCCGACGTCATGGTCACCATGTACGCGCCGCCCTTCACCACGCACGGCTACTCCATGA